TCTACACTATCATTTGTGTGTGTTACCACGTACTATGGAGTGCAGAGAATACTCTGGTGTGCTCTGTTTTTGTTTACCTGGTCTGTAGGTGTGTTCAACCTTGGCAACCTGCGGGGTGATCAGCTTGGTGGTGTGTTCCTTCTTGCTGCTGTCTCTCTCCCTCTCCTGACGTTTCTCCATCTTCTCATAGTAGTTCTACATGTGTACACACACAAACACACACACACACACAAAGTGTAAGTGTCAATAATCATTAACCAACTTTGAAGCTAATAGTAAATAACTCTCTACAAAGTATGATTATTTTTATTATTAAACTAATTTAGACTACAAACTGACAAAATGGCACCCTTTACAACATGTCTTCAAAGTACATGACTTTTCTGACAAACAGCCATTCAGAAATGTACCACAATGATATATTTAAAACAATCAGCATCCACACTAGCACTTCCAGGTTGTTTTTGCAGAGCCTCGCTCTCACAAGAAAAGACATCCTGAGGGCTAAAACAGTTTGTCAGCTGGATAAAAAGCAAAGACAAAAAGATGCTTTTTCAAATTTGACCAGCTTAAAGTAGAAGTATTATGAGAGGCTGAATGCAACGGTGGCATTTTGCTTTATACATGTATGATAATTGCATTGTCACAATTGCTGTCTATTTGTTGACATCTGTCAAAAAACTTATTAATTGAGCACCACATTCACTGTGACTTAAACAAGCTGCAGGAGAGATGTAGACTCGCTCTCTCTTTCTGTCTATACTCAGTTACTCTCAGTAGTTCAGTACCTAACCCTACCTCTGACAGTCTGACTGTCACCACCATGAACTGTAAGGTGAGAAATTCCTACACCAGCCTGCCAGCCAAAATAAAAGCAAACATAAAAAAAGAAAAGAAAGAAAGATGCATATATACACTATGTAAAATGACAACACCTACTGCAGAATAAATGCATTTTATATAATTGTTAATACATTATTAATTATATATATTTGGGTTTTGGATTTTTCACTCTTTTTGACATTTTACAGACTAAACACTACAACAAAAATAAGATAGAAAAAACATAATTGTTAGTTTTTCAGCCTGATTATTTCATTTGAGATGACATGGATGCATATACACATTGAGTGAAATCAATGAGATTATATGAATCCATATCTGAACTGATGAAGGTCAATGAAGAACATAAACACCCAACCAAGACAAGCCAAACATTAATAGTTACTACATCAAAAACCAACCTGATAGTAGTAGTCATCCAGGTAAGGGTCAGTACTTTGCAGCTGCATCATCTGGATTTTGGTTACCCATTCCTTCTCTTTCTGAGTCATCAGGTTACTGTAGGGGTCCCTGCTGCGTCGGTCCCCTCCCGTCCTTCCACGGTCCCTACAGAGAGGTCAAGAGACAATGTTGACATGGTCTTCTTCATTGCAGCTCTATTACTGTTCATTATGTCCTGTATGGACTAGGGATGGAGAGATTCACCGATTTGAATCGGTGGTCCGAGACAGACGTTTGCGATGCGAGTGCACTAGGGCTGTAACGGTTCTGAAACCAAGACCGAAATCGCGACACAAAAGTCCACGGTCTCGTGTCGCGGATCCGAGAGACAGAACCGCGACACACTCGCTCCCTGGACTGTTGAGCTCTCGTTAAGACAGTGTAACTGCGGCGGCCCGTGGGGTGGTAGCGGTGTAGGCCTATATTGGTATTTGTGTTGACAGTAGGTTATTCTAGGTCATTTTCCACCGTTATTTTAGTGTTTATTTTTACTACTTTAATCTGCTCGAAACGTTTCTCTCCTCCCACACTGCAAAACAGAGAACACACCTAGCCTGGACCTCTGCTCACTCACGGCAAACAACGCCCGCTTGCTCCGCCTCTTTCTGTCTCTCTCTCCGCTCCTCGTCTCCCCTGTGTGTCTCTGCTGACTTTTCCATCGCAGTACGTTCATAAACTCCCACCCGTGATTCAGTTTTCAAGTGGGTCCAAACCGAAACTAACGTTAGTGAGTGACATCTGCAGTGGTGCGTTCACTGACGCTCCGTAATGTAAGATTTCTGCCGTATCCGCTTAATCAGATAACATCTCTCTCTCTCTCTGTTTCTCTGCAAAATGGGGAAACGGGGTAAACCGCGGTATGAAGATTCTCATATTCAAGTCTCATAAACTTGCCTCTTTAGAGCTGTGTTACTTCAAAAACTCACAAATAATAGTAGATAGATCAGTAGACAACATTTACAAGCCCAACAACTTAGCTGGGAATGCTAAAACTGAAATGATGATGAAAACACAATTAGAGAATTAGTCCTTGGGTTCATACAGTTTTGTTAGAAACATACATTCTATTGGAATGAAGGGCTTACAGCTATGAATGAGAAAATCTAAATCTACACCTTAAAAACATCACGACGGCTGCTGTCATAACATTTAAGAGTTTAGCTATTATTCAGTCTCTGGAGCAGCTCCAGGATCTTTCTCCAGATGACATCATCTGTACAGTCTGTCTCTGTGCTGTTCAGCTTAAAAATAGACTTGTCCAAGGTCACAAATTAAAACCGAGCACTAAAGTACGATAGGAAAAGCATGTGTGATTTCTATGGAAGGGTTTCACTTTTAAAGACCAAAATAATAACAAACCTTCAGAACTTTGTCTTTTACTTTTACCTTTAGCCAAGACAACCGCAGCTAACACAGTATTACAACCGGTGTAAGATCACAGTGGACTCACACCAAACAAGACAGTTCATATGACGTAGTGCAGTGGAGGGAAGGCGTACCTCAGCAGGCATGTGCATAAGCAACACAGCGGCAATGGGAGCCTGAGCCTGGCAGTATCCCTCCTCTGGTCGGTACAGTGTGTAGGCCTTAAGAACACGGAACAGGTCCTGCTGCCTGCGGAGGGTCAACACACCAACACACACAACAGTCAAACTGATTGACAAAGAGGACTTTGTCATTAATTCCAGTGCGTGATGTCACATCGTGAGCATACCCGTGGCCTCCCCGTGACACAAACATCTCATGGAAAGGAAACTGTCGATGGAGGTCTTTCTCAATCACATCCAGCCATTTGGGGTCCCCGGCTTCGCTGTCCAGCTCCTGATAAAGACATGCAGGAGACTGTGAGATCTCTGTATCACACGCTGACAGCATTTAGGGAATGTGCTTCCAAACTGAAACAATTCAGGAAGTGGATATTTTGTAAAATCCACTCAACACAGAAATAGTTCTTCAAATAGTTTCTTTTTCACTATCTTGAATAATAATTTAAGCTGTATTATCACCTCTTAAACAGCATTTCATTTCACATTTTCATTTCTCAACTTCACAGAACTGAATGTGTGTGTCTCCACCCTGTGTACAACACATCAGGGTTGTCAACCAAAGAAAGTAACAGTGATGGCATGGCCACAGTTTCAGTAACAATTTCAGAATAATTTTAAAAATAATATGAGCAACATAAAGCAGTAAAGAGGAAGTGAAAGACACCTCTCTGACCTGAAACTTCCCTTGGTTCTGCTCTTTCTTCATCTTCCCCCCTGACAGATAGAGCCATGCACGGCCTCGGAGAGAAGGAGGGATTCCTTTCTGGCACCGCAGCCTCACCTGAGCCAAAGAGGAACGTGGGTTTACCAAATAAAGCAGGACACAAACGGAACGTGTGACGATGGCTCACTACAAGCAAGAAAGGTGTTATACAAGCTGGTACAGTGTGTACACTACAGTCAGTGGTAAAAGCACCAAAACCGTCTCTTGGTATTGGTTCCTTTTCTTAGATACATGTGAATTGCAGCCATCTGTTCAAACCACCGTAACAGCTCACTGTTGTACAGGAATTTTTACTTTAAACAAAACATTTACTACAAAGTTCTTGCAAAATTGTGTCAGTAAGTATAATTGATGATATAAATAATAAAAAAAGGGCACTATTAGAAGTAATCAACCATTATTGTTACTAGTTAACCTGAGCTGGGCCCAAATCAGATACAGGTCAGATTTGACCTCAGTGTGTACAGTCATATCAGAATTCATGTGACTTTTACGTCACACTGAAACACAGATTTGATCTTAGTGTTCCAATGTGCCACTAACACTGCTGTTGGATTGATTTGCATTACCATCTCTGGATTCTTTTATTTGTTTTCATTCTGATACAAAGCTGGTACACTTCCCCAAGGAGAGTATGTTAGCTGTAAAGTTACAGTGAACCAAAAACACAATAAGGGAACAGAAACCCTGACCTTCACTGCCCTTCCCTGAGCCTTTGTGTACAACAACAGGCATGTGGAAACTGCTTGCAGCTCAAATACACCGTCTCTTCTTCTCGTGAGGTGCTTTTCTCTCTGAATAGCTGCTCTTGCATTTGAGTACAGCTATAGTTTGCACCCACAGCACCTCTATTACATGGTTGTCTCATAGGAAGTCAATACAGCCCCACCCTGAATCTGAGACTGTCAATTTGTCACATGGTGCATGGAGCGATAAAGGGATGGGTCGTGTCCTGCCCCGCTGCTGACTCATGGAAATGAGGTGAAGTTGAGGCCCTGTGCTGAATTGCTGAGAGCGTTTCACACAGAACCAGCTAGACAAGTGAAGCTGCAAACAATGTGTCCACAAAAGTCTCGTCCTTGTGCAATCAAATACTTGAGCACTGCCATTTGCCTTGTCTGATCATGTGTTCAGAACTGCTCGGGAGGGAAAAACTGCAGCCTGCAGACAATGGTGGTAAAGCTGAGAGGCACGCTTTATGAAAGCTTCAGTAAAAACTGAGCCGATCCAGATCGGACCTATCCCCATGGCAAGCACCGTGCAGCGCGTACAAACCAGCCAGCTGACATTTTGTGTTATTGAGTTGTGCAGACCTTATTGAATCTCTTGATCATCCACTTGTCCCAGTGGCTGAGCATGTCCAGCCACTTCACCTCCCTTTGCCTGAGCACCTCTGGAGGCACATCCTTAGCTCTGTGGACACATCGGGGAAAAGACAGGAGAGATCAATGCACTTATGTTGCACATTAAATCAATAATAAACCAAATAAGACTGAACAACATGTAAATAAACTCTCAGTGTGAAATAAAACTCTTAATGAGATAAACATAACACGTCTTTAAAGGCAGCAGGCTCCTGTTTGTTAGGAGGTTGTGACAAAAACAAGAAACCATCCCTAGAGAGGCTGCTCATCCTTCTGCGTGGGCAGACAGATCTGCGTGTGTGGCCGTCGCTCATACGCAGTCAGTAAACTGTGCAGTGAGTCAAAATTAACAGCTACTACCTTGTTTTGATGAGACTATAAAAAGACACAAACTCAGATCCAGCCCCTTTAATAGCACAGCCGGTTTAACCTCAAAGAGCAGCAGCGAGGACTCGGCTGTCTTGTGATGTCATTTAACTTCTAAACATTTACAGGCAAAAAATAAATAAAAAGTAGGGACTGCACATAATATTCTCCAGAAGAGAAAGAAAAAAGAAAACGTAAGCAAGTCGAACCTACATTATGAATGAGGTCTGATGCTTTACTAAGCTGTGTTATTATCTCATCAGCACAAGCCTGTAATTGCAGGGTTCAAACGTCTTCAAAGAGGTTTTTTTTTTAACTTGGGACGGCCCTTTTGCAGCTAAAAAAAAAGTCGTAGGCTATATTGTATGTTGGGGATCAGCACACCAATATGTTACACTCCAGCTTCAGCCTCTACCAACCTTAAGAGACGATGAGTTGCTTTCAATCTCTGCCAACTAGTGTAAGTTCAACCCTGGGTTTGTGACCACCTATAAAACCGGGAGCCAAAAGAGGCCCTCTAGTAACGGGGCACCAGAGCTGTGGCTCCAAGTCTGCCAATGCTCCAGAAAACAGGAAGCTCCCAGGCAGCCAGCGCTTGGCACAACTTTAACTCACTCCTTCCACTCGTTTCAGCACTCGAACGTCGGCTCAAGGCCCCCAGTGAAAAGGGGAAGAAAGAAATGCCCTCTTAGGAAAGAAAACAAGAGCAACTGGCTCACAAAGGCTGTGAATAATTTAATTCAAATGAAAAACGGAACAAACAAGACGGTGTGGATTTGCTTTTGCAGCTTTCAATATCTGCATGAGCAAATGGTTTACATGATGGAGAATGACGCTACATGTTATCAGGGTTGGGGGGGATAATTCTTAATTACCTGTTAAAAAATGAACCAAGTATCACAACATAAAAGTAACGTAACCTGATTACTTCACATTACTTTGAGAGTTAAAGTGATAAGAAAAGTGTAAACAAAAACAAGAGGAAAAGAAACAACAATAAGAAGTATTGTTGCGACAATGTGACCTTTGAAAAGAAAACGGAAAGAAAAGGAAAACTGATGTATATTAAAATGATAATCCTGCTGAATAACACCCCATTTTTACTGAATGCAACTGTAATCTGATTCTCTCTTTTATCTGTAACTGTAACGCATTACAGATGCATTTTTCCTTGCGTCCTTGTATACTAATTTAGCTGCATGCAATCCCTTTCTACCCACAGCCTGCAAGTTTTCACAATCCATCCCATTGTGTGTGTGTGTGAGGCGTAAATAACACACCGTGCCACGCAGCTGGCTGGGAGAGACACAACAAGTCAGCATAAGTACATTAAAACTGCAACATGTCAACCCTAAAGTGGATTACATGAAGCCAGCAGCACTGGAAACACAACACAGATGGAAGTCAAAGCAATGAATCACTGCAGAGCTGCAACTTACGACGCCTCCGTGTACTGCTGAGCCCCGCCGATGAATCCATATCTATCGGTTTGTCTGTCGCTGGTGAAGCCATTGATCTCCGAGTCTGAGCCCAAAGAGCTTTCGTCGTCAATGTGGCTGCTGCTGATGGTCCGGATACTTCTTGTGTCCACTGATTGACGGCCGTTTTCTGTTTTGGCCATGTTAGCAGGGGAGCTAGCTGCAGGGCTAGCCAGGACAGCTAACGTCAGCGAGCTTTGTTGACAGCTCAAAAGTCAAAACTGCTCCTCCGCATGTGCTGTCGAAACAAACTGCATTTTTAAAACAAAAACACTTTCCCAACAACTCTTAACTTCTTCTGCAAAATGTAACATCAAAACAGGTTATTAAGTTCTGAGCTAGCTGGCGTGCTAAGTTAAAGTTAGCCCGAGCCAACACAACCCCAAAAAAAACACCAAAAACTCTTTCCTATAATGAGCCTACCGTCAACAAACTAACGCTATACTGTCAGCTTGTTTTTCATAGTGAGCCATTAACCAACTGTGCCAGCTGGTGAACAGTCGCTGTCCTGTCACCCAGACTGTGCTGGACAGAGTTTGTTGCCTCGACCAGCGACCCAGTGTGCCGTCCTGGGTTGGTTTCACCGCCTCAGTGGGACGGACCTCTAGTGGTAGCTGACAGGACTTCATCATGTCTTCATCATGTCT